TAATGGTGATAAGAAAGAACCAGTAGAAAGGAAGAGATTAAAGATGTACGAGGGGAGAAGAGATCATTGTGGTGCAAGCTCCCAAGAGGGTGGGCAGCTGTATATCTATATGCAAGGCACATAATAGGTGCTCAGTAAATATTTGTGAAACAAATGTATGACTGTAGGCAAGAGGGCATGGAATTCTGAAAATAGGTAGAGGGATTGGCCAGGCCCACTTTTTTTTTTTGTTTTGAGACAGGGTCTCACTCTGTTGTCCAGGCTAGAGTGCAGTGGTGTGATCATAGCTCACTGCAGCTATGATCAAGCAATCCTCCTGCCTCAGCCTCCTGAGTAGCTGGGACTACAGGCACATGCCACCATGCCTGGCTAATTTTTTATATTTTTATATATTTCGTAGAGACGGGGTCTTGCTATGTTGGTCAGACTGGTCTCAAACTCTTGGCCTCAAGCGACCCTCCCACCTCAGGCCTCCTAGAGTGCTAGGATTATAGGAATGAGCCACCGTGCCCAGGCCAGGCTTACATTTTGAGTCCACTCTAACTTCTGCTGCCCACTGTTCTTGCACGTGGCCCAATGTGGCGGCCAGCATTACCACTACCTCCTGACCTCTCATCGCCAGTGCCCATCACTGACTCCCCGCAGGCACTGTGTCCCACAGCTCAAATTCAAGACAGGATTTAGGCTGCCCCTGGGCACCTGGCCAGGGGAGCCAGGCCTTGGGGTATCTCCCATGGGGTTGAGGGAGTGTGCCTGGGAGTGACACACATTCTGTTTTTCACACTCTTTGACCCTAAACACCGTGAAGGTAAGAGGTCCTCGATTTTATGTGCTAGTTGATAATCATTTTCCCGGGAGAAGGTATTTACTGCAAGTGAGAAAGCACCGTCAGGATGTCCTCTCCCAGCTCCGGATCACACCAAACATGGACAGGCAACCAAGTCTCAGCAGGGACGGTGGCTGCCTCTGGGAGGTGAGGTAGAGGACAGAGGGTAGAGACTTTTCTTTTATATTTTATATATGTTAAATATTTTTAATTATTTTAATTTCTACAATAAACTTGATTAGCCCTAAAAATAACTTGGGCCATCTTTTTAAAACTTGAATTTTAACAAGAATATCCATAAATACACTCTCTTTGTAGAAAATGGAAATATACCAGGCATGGTAGCTCATGCCTGTAATTCCAGCACTTTGGGAGGCCGAGGCAGGAGGATGGCTTGAAGCCAGGAGTTCAAGCCCAGCCTGGATAAAATAGCCAGACACCGTCTCTACAAAAAATTTAAAAATTAGTTGGGCATGGTGGCCTGTAATCCCAGCTACTTGGGAGGCTGAGGCGGGAGGATCCCTTGAGCCCAGGTCTCATGCCACTGTACTCCAGCCGGGGCAACTTAGCGAGACCCTGTCTCAAAACAAACAAACAAACAAACAAAAAATGGACACATTACAGAGAAAGACAAAGTCTCCCAGACCATCCCCCTGCCTATATAATCTACAGCAGAATCCACTGTTATCAGTTTGGAATGACTCATTCTACACCTTTTATAATGCATTTTTATGCATATATATGTCCCCACATAAATATATTGTCTGTGATTTTGAAGGGATTAAACGTAAAATGTTTTTATATAGCACTGTCTTCCTGCTGGATATTTTATCTCAGTTACTTGTCTTCAAGGGGCGTCCCTTCTGGTAATGTAACCCTTCTTAAGTTCCTTCCCCTTCCCCAGAGGTAACAAGTTCATGGTCTTTGCAAACGCTGCGTCTGAAACCACTCCAGCACGAGTTGCTGGGGTAGGGACACAACACTTGGCACGTGCTTATGCGGTAGTCCCCCCTCATCTGCACTTTCCCCTTTTACAGGTTTCAGTTATCTGAGATCCAAAACCAGGTAAATACAGTACAGTAAGATATTTGGAGAGAGAGGCCACATTCACATAATTATTATTATGGTATATTGTTATAGTTGTCCTATTTTATTATTAGTTATTCCTATTAATTTCTTACTGTGCCTAATTTATAACTCAAACTTTATCATGGCTATGTATATTCAAGGAGACTTCAAAAAGTTCATGGAAAAATGTTGTTAAAAGATAAAAATAAAAAATATAAACTTTATTTCTCAACATAATCTCCGTCAAGTTCAAGACACTTTTGTAAACAATGGTACCAGCCATTTAGTCCATCCCAGAAGAACTGAGGGGCCTGGGAATTTACCATGTCAATGCTGTTTCTTTTTTTACATTAATTGAAGAAAAATGGGTGCCCTTTAAAGATTTTTTTAAGATTAGGAAACAAAAAGAAGTCAGAAGAAGCCAAATCAGGACTATAAGGTGGATGCCTAACTATTGCCTGTAGAAACTCACAAAATCGCCCCTGTTTGATGAGAGGAATGAGCAGGATCATTGTCACGGTGCAGAAGGACTCTCTGGTGAAGCTTCCCCAGGCATTTTTTTGCTAACACTTTGGCTAACTTCCTCAAAGCACTCTCATAATAAGCAGATGTTCTTGTTCTTTCACCCTCCAGAAAGTCAACAAGCAAAATGCCTTGAGCAACCCCCAAAATTGTCGTCATGATCTTTACTTTTGATCAGTTTGTTTTTGCTTTGAATGGACCACTCCCACCTCTTGGTAGCCACTGCTTTGATTGTGTTTTGTGTTCAGGATCGTACTGGTAAAGCCATGTCCATCTCCTGTTACAACTTTTTTTTTTTTTTTTTTTTTGAGACAGAGTGTCACTCTTTTGCCCAGGCTAGAGTGAGTGCCGTGGCATCAGCCTAGCTCACAGCAACCTCACACTCCTGGGCTCAGGCGATCCTTCTGCCTCAGCCTCCCGAGTAGCTGGGACTACAGGCATGTGCCACCATGCCTGGCTAATTTTTTCTATATATTTTTAGTTGTCCGATTAATTTCTTTCTATTTTTAGTAGAGCCGGGGTCTCGCTCTTGATAAGGCTGGTTTCGAACTCCTGAGCTCAAACAATCCGCCCGCCTTGGCCTCCCAGAGTGCTAGGATTACAGGCGTGAGCCACCGCGCCTGGCCCTGTTACAACTTTTTAAAGAAAAGCTTCAGGATCTCAATTCTGCTTGTTTAAAATTTCCATTGAAAGCTCTGCTGTTGTCTGCAGCTGATCTGGGTGAAATGGTTTTGGCACCCATCAAGTGGAAAGTTTGCTCAACTTTAATTTTTCAGTCAGAATTGTGTAAACTGGCTGGGCATGGTGGCTCACACCTGTAATCCCAGAACTTTGGGAGGCTGAGGCAGGAGGACCACTTGAAACCAGGAGTTTGAGACCAGCCTGGGCATCACAGTAAGACTCCTTCTCTACAAAAAAAATAAAAACTAGCCAGGCATGCTGGCATGCACCTGTAGTCCCAGCTACTTGGGAGACTGAGGCAAAAGGATCACTTGAGCCTGGGAGTTGGAGATTGCAGTAAGCTGTGATCACGCCACTGCATTCCAGCCTGAGGGACAGGGAGCAAGACCCTGTTTCACCAAAAAACAAAAAAATAAAAGGAATTGTGTAAGTCAAACCAATTGAGATGTCTACGGTATTGGCTATTGTTTGTGCTGTTAATTGTCAGTCCTCTTCAATTAGGGCAGGAACAAGATTAACTTTGTCCTTGCGAATTGATGGGGATGGTCTGCCACTGCTGGCTTCATCTTCAACATTGTTCCGTTCCTTCTTAAAATGAGTTACCCATTTGTAAACTGCTGACTTCTTTGGGGCATTATCCCCATAAACTTTTCATAAAGCATCAATGATTTCACCATTCTTCCACCCAAACTTCACCATAAATTTAATGTTTGTTCTTGCTTCAATTTTAGTAGAATTCACGTTGTTCTGATAGGGACTCTTTTAAAACTAATATCTAGCCTTCTTAGTGCCTCAAACTACTAGATCCTGTTCAGACATGTTATAACAAATTAGTAGGAGTTAATTTTGGTGCAAAAAAAGTTTTTGAAATCCATGCATAGTTTTTTCATAATACGCATTTTCCATGAACTTTTTGAAGACCCCTCATATAGGAAAAAACAATATGTAGAGAGTTGGGTGCTATCTGCAGTTTCAGGCATTCACGGGGGGTCTTGGAACGTTATCACCTGTAGATAAGCAAGGACTACTGTACTAAAAAACTAACCCTTGTTTATCTGAAATTCAAATTGAACCGAATGGCCTGTATTTCACGTGCCAACCCTACCCCGGGACACTTAAAAATACCAGAGGCCTTATGCCCCTATGTGAGTCAGTAGGTCTGGACGGAACCTAGCCAGGAATGTGTAGTTTTAAAATGGTATTCAGGTCACTGGCCCGGCTGGGAACCCTGTACTCTACCACACCACGCTGGTGGGGGGCAAGGCTCTCCTCCCTGTGAAAATACACATTTTCTTACGTATTCGTTCCTCAATCTTCAATGAGTTAGGCAAGTAGGAGTCAGGCCTCCCTAGCTGCTGTCCCTGGGACTTCTGACGTGGGGGAGTCCTCCTAGGCGTGGCGTCTTTTCCCCCACCACATGGCCGGGACAACCGGCGGCGCTACTTCTACAGAGGCCGTCCCCATTTCCTTTGGACCCACTGATTTTTCTGATCCAGACAAGCTTGGCCAAGCACTCCCTGCCCAAACTGTAACTCTCAAAACCAACGCAGTGACAGAGAGCTGGAGGGGGACATGGTGGGACCAGGGAGGGGGTCAGGCCGGGCTCCGGTTCCCTCGCACACACCTCGGCTCCCAGTTCGCGTTTCTCCCGGGAGCTCCCGCCCACCCTGTGACCCCGCAGCGGAACTCGCGGCCTCACCCGGTTCCCTGTTTGTGTGGGCGGGGCTAGTGCCAGAAGGGGCGTGTCCAAAAGCCTTTCACAGCGAATCACAGCGTGGTCTGGGGGCGTGGCTTGACGCTTCAGCGACGCCCTGGACCAATCAGGACCCAGGAGAGCTGTGCTGAGCGCTACCTGGTCCCAGGTGCGCTCCGTTCTGCGAGTCTCAGGTGCTCCGCGCGCGGGATGGAGCTGGCCGGGGAGGCACCGGCGGGAGGCCTCGCTGGGGCCGAGTTCCCAACGGAGCCCACGGAAAGTCGGGTCCCGGAACTGGAGCAACCGCAGGTCCCCGCGGAGGCGCAACAGCCCGAGAGTCCCGACAGCAGCCCAAGTCTGGCCCGGACCGCGAGGGATGCGGCGGGCGCGGGCCCGGACCTCCCGGGGGAGAAGAAGCCGTCCCCGCCTCGCCCTGGGCTCCTGCGGGTGCCGCCTCTCAGCCTGGGCTACGGCGCCTTCCGCCGCCTGGGGTCCGCCGGCCCGGAGCCGCCATCGCCGGGCCCCGCCTCGGCCGAGCAGCTCCGGGAAGGCGAGGCGCCCGGGGCCGAGCTGCTGCCCTGGGCCGCTCCCGGCGAGCCGGCGCCCGGCGCCTGGGCGCCCATGGAACTGCAGGTGGACGTGCGCGTGAAGCCTGTGGGCGCGGCCGGCGGCAGCCGCGCACCCTCGCCCGCGCCCTCCACGCGCTTTCTCACCGTGCCGGTGCCCGAGTCCCCCGCCTTCTCCCGCCACGCCTCCCCGGCGCACCCTCTCCTGCAGCGGACACCGTCTCTGGGCGGCACATGGGGCCGCAGCTCGCAGCTGGCCGCAGCCGGGACAGACAGCGGCCGCGATGCCGAGGGCCGGGCCAGCCCCGCCGAGGGAAGCGCGGGCTCCCCTACGTGTCGCTGCCGCTGCAAGGAGCTGGGGTTGGAGAAGGAGGACGCAGTGCTGCTGCACCCAGGCGACAAGAAACTGCCCCGGGCTGTAGGACTCATAGGTGAGTGCTCACCGGTGCGGGCAGCCCGCGCTGCCAGGTAGGGATCAACGCGACCGGAACACACATCCACTCCCATGCCCGCCCAGCACCAGGCCACTGGGCAGTGGAGGGGCTAGGGGACCCAGACGACCATCCCGACGCCCCGACCCCACCTGGCCTAGCAAGCTTACAGTCTGTAACATCTGGTCTATGTAATTGTGGTTCAAATTAGGTAAAAGAATAAAACGACTATCCTTCTTAGTGTACAAAGCACCTCTGAGACGCATAGGTAGAAGGAAGTCCAGATGAGGCATAATCAGGATCAGGTGGCGGTCACTGCAGCCCGGGCAAGAGCATAGGTTCCAGGTTGACCCAGACCGGCTGCCCTCCCATGGGTCGACTTCTCCAAGGTCCAGGCTGGTTCTTTCTCTCCACCATATTGAGGAGCATTTGGCCCCACTCACTCACTCAGCAAATACTGAGTGAGACCACAGGCCAGACTGGCTAGCTCGTGTGTTTGCCTGTGTGTGTGTGTTTGGGTTGGGGGGGTGGGGGCGGCACAGAGCTTGGCACAGAAGAAAGAGCCTGAGAAAGACGTGAACAATCCTGGTCAAGGAACCTGGAGGGTGTGGCTGGTGAACTTGGGGCATGAGAAAGCTTGCCGGAGCTGCATCTTGAAAGGTGAGTAGGAGTTGGGAGTGGTAGAGGCTCCCAGGTAGGGAGACCCGCAGGAGCAGAGGCCAGGATGGCTGGAGCCCTGCCCAGCAGGCAAGCTGGTAGAGGCTTGGCTGATTGACACGTAAGACAAGCCAGCTTGACAGGCACCAAACCCAAGGGCCTCTACACAGGGGTTCTTAGACATGGGTAGGGTTCAGGGGCCTGGATCACTCAGGAACTTTTGCAGAGCTTGGTGTGAGCACATTTTCTGCATGATGGAATATTTTCTATTTCAAATTACCACAAATTTACTGGCTTTAAATGATACAAATTTATTATCTCACGGTTCTGTAGGTCAGAAGTCTGACACCAGCTCACTGATCTAAAGTCGAGTGGTCAGCAGGGCTGCTTTCCTTTCTGGGGGGTGTCTAGGGGAAATTCCCTTTCCTTGCCTTTGCCAGCTTCTTGGGGCCACTGTGTGTTCAAACCCAGCAATGTTGGGCTGAATCCTCCTCCCACCACCGCTTCTCTGCCCCTCATGTTCTGCTTCCTCCTTCCCTTTATAAGGACCCCTGTGGCTACACTGGCCCCGCCCAGGTAATCTAGAATCATCACCCCATCTCTAGGTCAGCCGATTAGCAACCTTAATTCCACTTTGCTGTATGGCCTAACATATTCACAGGCTCCAGGGATTAGCACATTGACAGCTTTGGGGAGACGTTATTCTATCCATTACAGTGAGTCTGTAGCCTTCTATCTTAAAAGACACTGTGACTAACAAGGGTGGGCTGATGCCCTGGTTGGATTTTTAGTCTAGAAAGAGAGCTCTGACAGCACTGTGGAGGAAGGCCAGGGCAGGCAGGAGACTGAAGGAGAGGATACCAGCGAGGAGGTGATAGCAGTAGTTCATCAGGGGAAGCCGAGGGCTTGATCTATGGCAGAGGCGGGAGGTTCAAGGGGGAGGATGCTCGGCCGGCCCGCTGACAGACGAAGGTAAGCTGACAGAAGAGGGGGATGACGCCTGC